CATACCAATGTCTAGCAGACTTGAAGCACATCCCAGTTCTGTCTCATACAGAGGGCTGGCTGCCCTACTCATTCAAACCCTAATGATAGCACCAAATCATCTGTCCACTTAAACTTCTCAAGCATGAATGGACAACGTCCAACACAACTTTCAGCAGCAAGTTTAAATCAACAACTCTCAAAAACAACCCTACAGCAACAACCAAATACCTGATGGGATCTAAACTGGTCAAACCCTCCAACTTGCCTAGACAGCAGGCATAACACTAATACAAAAGGTCCACCAATTGACACAATCCTATCCTAGAACAAACAGTTCTAGGGGAAAACAACCCTCTCCTCACTACATCAGCAGAAGCCAATTTACATCACCTCAAACACTATCAAGCTTCAAATCTGCTTCTAAACCAATAAAAAACTGCTCTCTAAAAGGGGACTAAAATGAAACAGCCAGACCTGGCAACAGATGGTAGTGGGTTGACAAACTCATCCTTAGAAAGCAAACAACTGTCATCAAGGAGTTCAACAGAATGAGAAAGACATGTTGACACATGCTTTCAACTCAAATGGCCTATAAGCAACACTAATGGCAGGTTCAATATGGTTCCCAAAACATACATGGGGGAGGTATGCACGCGTGCTAAACTGCAATTTAAAAGAAGGGTTTAGTTTCTGTCAGAGATCACCAAATGGTCAACCAATTCAAAACTGGTTTTGCAGCCCATAAAGCAAAGCAAAAGTTCACACTCCAATACCTCAGCCTTGATCTGAACTGCTTCTAAGCAAGTCCTAAATGCAAATCTAAATCCTAAACTTAAATAGCCTACATGATGCTAGCTTCCTCTCAAAGACATAAAGGCAAACAAATCAATCTAAATCAAGACAGTCCTTACTTGCTATCCAAATCTAGTTCACCAAACAGTCACAATAGTAAAACTGCTCACAAAGGTTTAGCAGACCAAAAGCCTCATGAACACAAACCTAGCTGCCTACTTCTAACCAAACAAACTCAAGTATCAAGCATAACACTTAAACATAGGGACCCCTCTTGATAGCAGACAACCTTGAGTTGACAAACTCAGTTCAAGAACCAAACTAAACAGAGGTAGCTATGAGAGCATTGTTTGGCAACAACAGTCTCCATACTGAACCAAACACACCCAGTTAAACTAAAAAAAAAGGCTTGCTCCCAACAAACTTATGATAGCAACAGTTTGTTCATGGACTGTCAAACTCAATCAAAACTGTTTTAGATGACAACCCCCAATGCAAATTCAAGTGGCAAATATTTGAACAAACCAAGATGAGCAGAAAGTAATATTAATGAAACCTAAATATCAAAGACTCCTAATATGAAAATGTTCAACAACAGTGCTTAACCAAACAGATCAAGTGACAACATCATAGTGCAAACCATATAAGCTAGACAGATCCAAATTCAAACCTCATCAATGATACATCTCAAACATAACAATGTTCAATGTTAAAACCCCTAACCTAAAGCTTCTCTTGTGGACAGTTTCAAAACAGTTGGATACCAATGGACAAACCCTTGGCATAACAATGTCAATACATCAACTTCCATGTAATCAAAACATATTACTTTTACAAAAGTAAAAAACAAGTATACCACTGGTAACATTACAACCAAGATGCACATTTTTGATAGATTACCTCATCTAACTAGATTTGGACAGCATGAACACCATTCATCATAACAATGTTTAATCAATCTCACCAACCATAAAACATAACATATGATGCATAATTAAGAGGCTTAGGGTTACATACCTCTGTAGACCTCCTTGAGCAAGCTAGCAGCAAAGAAACCAGAGATCCTTCTTTTTGAACAAATTTGTGAAGCTTACTTCCTTTTGAAGAAATAAGCAAATCTTGAGGGCAGTTTGAGCATATGAGGTTCCAACTGTTGTTTAATATTATGGACAACTACAGTATCATGAACATGAGGTGTTTTGAGTGTTAAAATGGTAGGAATGGATATAGGTAGTGATTTGGTATGAAGGTGCACAAAAGTCAACTATGGTGGTATGAAGTTTGACTTTTTGATCTATGGATTTTTTGGTGAATGTGATGGTGGAAACAGCTTTAGATGGTTATTTTAAGGGTGTGTATAAGGTTTTCATGGTGGTTTAGTGTTTGGAACAAGGACTGGTGTGAAAAGTGTAAAGTGGTGGATTTTGGTGTTTTGTGAAATCTCTTCACTTACAAGCAAAGAGGGAAAGGATAGAGCTATGAGTTTATGGTTCTCTTGGATAGCTTTGGTGTATTGTAAAGAGTGGAGTTAAGCTTCTATAGGCCATGAGAGGTGTTGGGGCAGATTTGAATTTGTGGTCTTGGAGGGAGATTTTTTTGGAAGAAAATCCATCCAAGACTTGGTACAGCTGCATACTCAAGTCTTTGGCTCAATGCAGGGAAAAACTCAAGTGAAATGAAGGACATAAGGTGACTGAAGTGAGGTTAGTGTGTAGGGAGCTGCAGCTGCAAGTTCTCACCAAAAAGTTTCTCTTTCCACATGATGTTTGATTAAAATAATGGCAACTTGCTTGCAACTTGCAAAGTCTACCAAACCCTTCTTTATTCTGCACTTCTACTCATCAAAACCTCTCAATATCAGATTAATACATGATCCAATGGTTGAGAATGGTTCAAGTGGTTGAAAAGTGAATTTGTGAAAAAGTGGAAATGGTGCACTCAAGTGTGGAGACCCCAACTTTCTAGATTCATACTCCCAACTCACAAGGGCTATGGAGGAGTTCTAGTACTTTTTGGAAAGCCCTCATGTAAATATAAAACTTTAATGTTTACATGATCCTCATATTCCAAGTGGAACTAGGTTAAAAATCCCTTCAAAGTTGGCTGAAAACATGATTTGCAAGGCCAGAAAACTTAGAAATTTTCTAAGTGTTTTCCCCACTTGTAATGATTTTGATTATAACTCCCAATCTACTCATTTTTTGCACATGGACCCTTGCAAGACTTTTATAGGTTTTATCAAGACCTTTCCAAAAAGCTTTGAACCACCCCAATTGGATGTGTGGTTAGGGAGTTATGGTCTTGCCCCCTTTCAAAACCCTAATTCCTGGTTTTTCCGATTACTCTCCAATCCTTGATCCAATGATCATGAAATTTCATGGATAGGTGCAATATGTTATTATGAACATCTTTGCTTCACACTTTGAGGTCAAATTCCTTATGGTTAGAGGAGTTGACTTTTTTCAATGCACAGTTGACTTTCCCCCCAAATCTCCTGATTTTCAATTGACTGATCAATTGAAGCTCTTCTGATTAAAATTGATGGTCCAACTCTTATCCTTAACACCTTAGGAAATATGGAGGTCCATGGAAATAATTTTGCTTCAAGAAACAAGTTTTATCCTGATTAAAATTGAAACCCTAATTTCATCCTTTTTGCTCTAGGCATTGCTTTGATGAACTGAGTGACCATTTCCACTCCATCCTGACCTCTGAGGGTAATCAACAAACTTCTACCTCATGCCTCTGCTAATGATAATTCTTCATGAATCCTTGACAACCTTCTGATGGTTTGTACCAATGAAGACCCTCCTCTTGGATGACACACATACACACACAATCACTTGCTCCCTTTTAATAACTATGTTATGCAGATGCAAGATGCTAAAATGCAATGAAACAAAAGCAAAGATTAAGAAAAAAGGGTTGGTCAAATTTTGGGTTACAACACATAGGTGACATATTGAGACCATAATTAGCGACAACACATTTTAAACAATAGGTTCCTGTAGAGTACTACAGAAGTTTAGGATGCTAATACCTTCCCTAAGCTTAACCAACCCCCAAACCTTAGATCTCTCCCCGCATTGTGTTTACGATGCAAAATAGGGTTTTTCCTTTCTTTAACCTTTCCTTCGGATAAATCAAAGATCGGTTGTGAATCAAGATCGTGATTCAAATTAATCAATATT